CTGTCTTGCTTTTCTGTGTGTATTCCTGGCACTTTGAGCAATGCTCTGTACATAGTAAGTGTTTAACAAATTTTATTTTTCATTCTTTCATTCATTCATTTTATAAGTATATGTCGACTCCACTGACAGAATGTAAGCTTCCTGAGGACAGGCAGAGTATCATTTTTTTTTTCTTTGTATCCACAAAGCCTAGCACAGGGCATGGCAATAAGAAGTGTTTATTAAATGCTTTTGATTGTCTAAACCATTTCAATGTATTTGTGTGCATGAGAGATTAAGAAATTACTATGAGAATTTATAGGCGAGAGAGATGGAATCAAGGATTCAGGAGGTGAGGAAATTAGGTAGGACTTTCTGGAAGAGTGGTAATAGAACTATGTCTAGAAAGATGGGTAGGCTTTCAAATAGCAGAAATACATGAGAAGGTATTATGGGCATCAGGAGTCCCATGAGAAAATTACATTCTTTTCCCTCCAAGCACAGACACTCCAATCCAGAGCAAATATTAATAATCCCTGTTCAGTGATAGAGATGTCAAGATCCAGAGGGAGCATGGTGGACTGACATTACGGGAGAGATCCCAGGTTTCCTTCCCCCCCCATTTAAGAATCTATTGGTATCTGATTTTAGAAAACATCCCATCTCTTTGAACTTATTAATTTTGCACATCTGTCTATAGCTACAGCTTGTTTACAGTTTCAATCAATGGTCAGACTGATTTGGATAAGCAATTCTCCTGCTGCCTTAGCCCCCAATAGAACACTGGGAAAACAGAATAGCTCTTGCCTCCTCCTCTCCCATCTCTTCCTTTGGGGTCCTGGGAGGAGGTAGGGTAGTATGATTAAATATTAATGCCTGGTGTCTAAGTTCTCATTAAAGTGTTTAGAGAAGAAAAGAAGGAAAATATGGGAACTTCTGGCTAAGAAAAAACTGTTGATGGTGGGTGTGGAGACACAAGAAACTGGGAAAATCAATGGAATCACGTAAACTCCTCATGTGAGTTGGACCATCCCCATGCCCTAATTTCAAACTGACCTCTGAATCTCTTCAGTTTTTGTTAGCTGCACATAAACTGCTCAGGGTCTTGGGATGAGGTCTGCTGGTATCATGGTTAAATATCCATGGACTGTGTCTCAGTACTCATTAAGATGCCCTAGTAGAACTTAGCTAGTAGAATAAACATTAAATCAGTCAACATAACTGAAACAAACCTGCTCTGAATCCCCCTAAGAGGACCATTTTCTAACCCACATCTGTTCTTTCTGTCCACAAACATACTATAAGAGAAATGCCAAATGCTTTGCCACAGTCTAGGTAAACTCTATTTACAACATTCCCTAATCTAGTAACCCTGTCAAAAAAGGGAATGGGGTTAATTTGGCATAATTTACTCTTGACAAAACTTTTTGGTGCTTTAAAATAATTTTTCTAGATTTTCACTAACCATCCCTTTAACAATCCATTCCAGAATATTTTTCAGGAACCAAAGTCAAGTTCACTGGCTTATGGTGTACAGATTTCATTCAATGATCTCTTCTATGAAAGTGACCCTGAAATCAATACCTCCACCTCCTACCACTCCCCAGAAGCTGAACATGATTTTTGCCTTGTCAAATTTCTCCTAGCATAATTGATGGACTTTCTCTGGAAAGCTTTCTGTAAACTGTGAAGTGCCATATAAATGGAGACTATTCCATCATCATCATCATCATCATCATCATCATCATCATCAGCTACTTCATGGAGTCAATCTGGGGATCAAATGGAAGAATGTTTATGCAAGTGCTTTTTTATATATCTACAGCTCACTATAAACCATTATATCATAAAACTAAATGCTGTCAGAAGGAAGATTTCAGCACAGACTCTTTACCCCCATTTAAAACCGGATGCCCACCATTTCCCCTAATCCCAATAGTGACAAAATCACAGACTAGGAGGGCTAGGATGGGTTTTTATAGATCCTCTTGTTGAGGAAATTGAAGTTCAGAAAATGGAAGTAACTATCCATCCAAGACAAGCAGCCTATTAGAACTAAAGCTGAGACTAGAACTCAATTTGCCCTACTCCCAAACTAGTAGTGCCCTTTCCACCGTAACACACAAAAGCCTAAGTGGTCAAGTTTTACATTTTGTTTTTAAGGATGAATTCACTAAATTGGTTTTCTCTCTGAATTCAAGATAATGATAATAGCTGTCATTTCTATAGTTTCACATTTTACAAGGTGTTTTGCACATATTATGGCTTTCGATCTTCAAAATAATCCTGCAGGGTTGGCAAAGTAAGCATTATCTGATGCCATGATAACCAGGGGAAAAATGTAAGATTTTGAGTCAGAAGACCTGAGTTTGAATCCTGGCTCTATTGCTTACTCCCTTTGTGACCTTGGGTAAGTCAACTACTCTCCTTGTCCTCTATTTCCTCTTTAGTAAAATGTGGGGTTCGACCAGGTGGCCTTTAAAGTCCTTTCAGGCTCTAAATTTATGATTGCCATCCTACATATTGGGAAACCAAGACCCAGAAAAAGTAATTAACATGCCCTAAGTCACCAAGCTAGGCTAACCTGAGTCAGGATACTAAGCCAGGCCTTCTGCCTCCAGACCTTATCCTTCTCTTACTCCATGCTGCTTTCACATCAATTGATTCAAAACAGTATATGGTCAGCTAGTATTTATTAAGAGCCTACTGTGTGCTGGGCACTGTACTAAACACAAAAGGCCATAAATAAATAAATAAACAAACAAGCAAAAAGTCCCTGCTCTCAGGATGCTCACTGTCTAATGGAAATTGTATTTGTCCCAGAAAGAGCTGTCAAAGAAAGATGGGCTTTCTTCATTGGTAGTGAGTTGCTCATTATCAGAGGTACTCAAGTTGAGTATATATGACTATCTGTCATGGATATTATGGAAGGGCTTCCCATACTGGTGGGAATTGTCCCAGCTGACCTCTGAGCTCCCTTCTGACCAAGACATTCTTTCATTGAAATCTTACCATTTTCCTTTGCCATGTTGTCTCTGCCCTCAGTGAAAACCTCTATTACGTCAATATGGGCCCGGTGGCTGAGGCTTAATTTTAATTTTATATCCTTTGTGCTCAATTTATTTTCCATGTATATTATAACATTTCTTTTGTGCTCAATTTGACTACCCACATACCTTAGTTGGATGACACACTTCACCAATTTTCTCCTACTTCTATTATCTGAAGGCACAAACATAAATCTTTCAAAGATTCTCTCCTCAGTGGGCTGTATAATTGCAGACAAATATTTCACATAGACAAATTCTATTCTGAGCAAAAACTTTCTTTGGCAGACTCATATGGTTTCACTTCAATAATAAAAATAATAAACAGTAATAATAGCCCTTTTGCAGCATTGCCGTTCTTGGAGGACCTTTTGATTTTTAGCAAATAGGAAATAATTAATTTTCAACGTAAGGAGGCAGATGTTACTGTCCTGTGGTTCTCAATGGGGATACTGACACAGAGGTTAAACAGCAGTTCTAGAATGCATATATCAGCCAGAGATGACCACATGCAGTTTTTAAAATCTTCATTGAGACACTAACAGAATTCAGCAATTTTCCAGACTCACTGCAACTGTCTGTTGACTATACTCTATGAAAAAGAGAGTGCCATTCACTCAAAGACTGGTATGAATGCCCAATTTTCCATGAAGCCCCCTGCTCTGATTTCTCTGGATGTCAATGAGTAGTTGTTGTTGTTCAGTCATGCCTGACTCTTCGTGACCCCATTTGGGATTTTCTTGGCAAAGATATTGGAGTGCTTTGCCATTTCCTTTTCCAGCTCATTGTACAGGTGAAAAAATTGAGGCCAATATGGTTAAGGGACTTGCCCAGAGTCATACAGCTAGGAAGTGTCTGAGACCAGTTTTGAACTCAGGTCTTCCTAAATCCAAGCCTGGCACTCTATCCACTGAGTCATCTGACTGCCTGTAAATGAGCATACCGTCACCTAAATTCCTATAGCGCTGAATTTCTATGGTTCTTGATGGGGAAATTGACTCAAAAGTTAAACAGCAGAACTACTAGATTCCTTTAGTGACTATTTCTCATTTGACACAGAGTCCTAGTCTTTTAGAACTTGAAGTGAAATTACAACCCATATTTTGCAACAGTGGAAACTGAGGCATACAGAAGAGAAGTGACTTGATAACACTATGGTCATAGATTCAGGGCTAGAAAGGATTTCAGAGCACATTTGTCTCCTTCTCATCATTTTATAGAAGTATAAAGTGAGGCAGAGAGAGGAAATGACTTGTCAAGATCATATAGTCAGTCAGTAACAGAGCTGGTAATTGGGAACAGAATAAGCACTATCTTACTTACTTACTACTATCAGACCTATTTGTTCTCCATACGCTTTCATTGCAATAAGCAGGCTTCTTCCACTTATTGTATGAGTGGCATCATGTTAGAGTAGACAGAGAGCCAACCTAAGGGTTCTGAGTTCAAGTCCTAACTCTGACATATGGCCAGAAGGAGAGGTGCCCATGGGAATGAGTGAATGATAGATTGATAACTCAAGGGATAGGTCTCTATCGTTTCTCATACAACATTCATCTTTGTGGGCTGTAGCTTCCATATTTGAAGAGGAAGAAGGCTGGACCAAAGGGCATCCTTATGAACCTATTACCCCAAGTAGTTTAGAGAGCTGCAAAAACAAATCACTGTGAAAGGTCCCAAGGGATCCCCTGTACAGGGTATCAGGGAAAGCTCCTTGGAAGGAGTGGCAATTCAGTCAATCTTTAAAGCACAGCTAGGATTTAATAGATTAAGAGGTGCTATGGGAACCAGAGGATGGCCTCCAGTGCATTGAACAGATTTTTGGAAAATCATGAGCAAGAATGGCTCAGGATGAGAAAGCACAGAGGGATGAAGATCTGAGCTGGAGGTGGGTATACACACCAAGGAAATCCCAGGTCACTCATGGTAAACATAGTGTACAGAACAACCGAGGAATGACCCAGGGACACTTACAGGCTTGCAGTTGGTGGGTTTGCCATTCATATCAATGGCAGGTGGAGTCAGATAATCCCAGTCTCGGCCTTTGTTGTAAGTTATCAGTGTCGTGACCTTTCCATCAATCTTTTGGTTGGCCAGGAAGACTCCTTTCACACCTCTGACCTGTGACAAAAACACGACAAGAATGAAGAACAGGCTTTTAGAATTGACCACTCAAACATTGGGCTATTTCCAAAGTTGCTGCCCCTCTGCCCATTGTGATTTATGGCTCAAAAGGCTCTTTTTCATTCTCTTTAAAGTCCCCGAGGCTCAGGAACAGGCAATAAAGAAACTCAATTAGATTCTGGGCTTCTCTTCCACAGTATATGCAAGTCAATACTCAAGCACAGCTAGAAAAATGCGTGTACACCAGTAGTCCATTTATCCATTTGTTAACACATTCATGCATTCATTACTCCATTCGCTCAATAAACATTTGCTATACACCTTGGGATAGGGAAAGAGGGAATAAGCATTTTTATGCTGCCTACTATGTGCCAGCCACTGTGCTGAGCACTTTACAAATATTACCTAATTTAATCCTCACAATTACTCTGGAAACACCTCCCTAACTTTCCCACTTCCTCCAGCTTGCACCTTCACTAGAGCTCCTTAATCAATACAGCATTCCTTCTCAGATAGAGCCAACTTTCTAGCTAATTGATGCTTAACAGACTGGGACATCAGAAGTGAGAGGTCAATCAGATGTGATGACATGAGATTTGCTCTTGCTTCCTATAAAAATGATGGACCCTCTTCTACATGGGGATATGACTCTTTTGTGGGGTGGAACTCTAGTATCTGACAAGAAACTGGCTGTCAGAGCTGAGATTCAGTTACCATTGCTAGTTTGCTCAAGAATATTCCAGCATTGTTTGCATTGTGTGTTGCTCTTAAGAATGATGGTTATAGTGGACCTAGGCAGAAGTGGAGAAGGAATCACTCAGTTTCATGACAACTTTCATTACCCAAGGCACAGTGGAAACTTCTCAGAGAGTCTCCCAAAGGTCTAGGAATCCAGGCTGTCTGAATCCAAATCAAGTGCTTTAGAGATATCCCCATAAAACAGGAATTACCCTGACAGTGAATATCTGAGACAAAGAAAAACACCATTAAAATGTAGCTATCAGTTTGAAAGAAGTGATCATAATTTGCCGTTCATGACTTTGTTCCACTTGTCATCTCTGACAAATGATGAGCCAGCAGTGTCAGATGGGAGCTGGGCCACCACTCCTGTTGGTTTAGCAAAGCATTTGATTTCTGGAGGAACCCTCTGGAGAGGCGCCATCTTTGCAAGTTACTGAACCTTGAATTAGAAACCTGCTGCTATTGCCTTCAAAAGAGACATCACTGTGTTAGGAAGCAGAAGGGAGCTGTCATGGTGGAAGTGGCTCCAAACCTAGTTAAGGGCAGTTGACACATGGGAATATCGGCTCTTTGTGTTTCTTCATGATACCTTTTAAAGTGTCAGTATTCTCTGTAGGGAGACCTATCTGTTCCTAGCATGTTAGAACCAGGATCTGATCAGAGCTAAGTGAGTGCCTTCAGCAAATAATAATCATTGGGAGAATAATATTCCGAGGAAATATTAGACTAATCTGCCTGATTGGCCATTGTCACATGGTGGAATACAATAATTTTTTGGGTCATTTTTCCTGGGATCTTAGGGGTTTGTAATACTTACAGATAGTTCTAGCCTTTCAAATTTGCATAAAATTTTATGGTTATAGAGGACTCCCCTCCCCAAAACCTCAAGGGATAAGTATTGTGTGAAAAAGTATCATAGTTGTGCTAAGGTGGAGTAGTTCAGGTGACCCTACCGGCCCTATGCCAAGGCTAGGGTCTGAGGAGCATCGTGGTGCTGGGCAGGGTCTGTGATACTGACTGAATACTCACCTTGCTTTCAAGGTAAAGGTATGAGTAGAAAAGACATTTCTATTTATATAAAGCTTAGTAATGGTGTTATAAGATGATGATCTAAGGATCTAGTTGACCAGGCTAGTGACCAAGAGAATGACCATTGATAATCAAGTGATCATTCTTCATGGATGAGCTAAACAATGCCTTTCTAGCATTTCATTAATATCAGTGAAGTGAATACTGAGATAGATATATGCCTTATCCATTGCCATATCTCATTCTTGCTATATCATTAGCCTCCCTTCTGTTTTGATTAGGCATTGCCTGGATTCTTATTCACAAGTCATCAACTGTAATGTATTATAGCCTATTTATATCCACAATACAGTATTTCATTGTTCTTTTGGATCCCTACCATTTGGATTCTTTTGAGATTTTGTGCTCCATGACCCACTGGAGCAGCTGAGTTCAATGGACCTGAGTTCAAATCCAGTTTCAGACACTCACTAGCTGTGTGGCTCTGGGTAAGCCATTTGACCTCTGTTTGCCTCAGTTTCCTCAACTATAAAGTGGGAATAATTATGGCATCTATCTCCCAGGGTTGTTGTGAGGATTAAATAAAATAGTATTTGTAAAGCACTTAGCACACTGCCTGGCACATAGTAAGCACTATATAAATGTTAGCCATCATCATCATAATAACTATTATTAATATTCATTGACATAAAGAATCATGGGGAGAATGCCAAATATATAGACCTTTGCAGATTGAGATCATTGGAAATATTTCACAATTCTTTGAATGAAATCCAGTCCTATTGCCATGTCCTGTTCACCTCTGGGTCCAGCTCACTTTCATCTTTAATGCCTATCCATTATGTAGCCAGTGAGCTATCAATCTTACTGTATGTCATAATTTGAACCATTTGGATTCTTCATCCATTTGGTTTTTCCTGTGTGGATTAATAAAATAATTTCTTTTTAAGCAACTACATCTGCCACTGAAAATCCTATAATATTAGAGGCAGAAGAAGGATCATACTCAGGAATTCACAACAGTACCTTGGGGTTATAGATAGGGATGGAATAAGTTAAAAAAAAAGAATGAGGTTTTAAACCTGAATGGTTTAGTGTTGAACAAATAGGTGAGTAGACAAAGAACAATGGTTCAATGTGTCACAGACTGATGCATATTTTTTGCCAATCTTTCCCTCCAGACTTTCCTTATCTTCCCTAGATAGAAAACTATCCAAGCTACCTTTGTTTTCAATAATCTTGGAATCCATGGAATTGTGGATACTGGGACTGTGTCTAAGAGGTGACTTCCAATAATTTCTGAACTGGAGTGTATATGGGTACTATGGTGTGGTAGTGGTCAATGTGTGTGTGTGTTAGGTAGGAGACTGGGCGATGTGTCTAGTTGATAGCAGTACCATTTCTACCTGGCCTACAGTAGTCAATTTTTTAAAGCCAAGAATAGCATGATATATTAGGCTGGGATATTTTGGGAAAACCTATTGATCAGTATTGAACAGAAATCTAAACTGGACAGAGGCAGTGGCAAAAAAAAAAAAAGAGCAATGCAACTTTAGAGTCTAGTCATGGTGATAATTTTTTTGATTTTTTTTTTGTCCTCAAGTATGATTCTTATCTTGGGAACCTCTGACCAAGGTAAAAGTTTTCTGAGCAAGAATAAACTTATTTTTGCTCTGATCATTCTATTATCCCTAGACCATGAATATCCCAATTGTAAACAACCAGGACTTTCCATCAATCCCTGTGAATGTACCTAGAACCAAAACTAGGGCTAGGCCAGGCAGGCAGCTGTCCAGGGTACACCAAATAAGGGAATACAAGAACAGTAGAAATTTTAGTACATTTTTTTTCAATATTTTGTAAGCCAGGTAATTTTGCTTTCTTGCACACATAGATCAATTTTGGAATGTCACACTGTAGAGACACTGAAGCAAGTAAACTTACCAGCCTAGTGCTTAATGAACAGAAACTACTAGGCTAAGATTACTCCCCATTCAACAAGAATTGCCGTTTAAACTGGAAAGCAATTTGGTACAAATCACATACCATAATAAGCTCTAAATAGATAGATAGGAGATGTAAATACAAAAGACCACACTACAACAAATTTAGTAGCAAATGGAAGGAGGTACCTTTTACAGCTATGGCTAGAGAGAGAATTCTTAACCAACAAAAGTATAGAGGTAATTAGGAAAGATAAAAAAAAAATTATACAAAATTTTAAAATCTTTTGTAGAAACAAAATTAGCACAGTTAGAATAAGAAGAGGAGCTAGTATTTGGGATAAATTCATTGAAAATAAATTTGATAAGGGTTTGACACTTCCAAGATATATAGAGAAGTGACGCCAACTTATATAAGAACAAAAACCACTGGCCAAACAGTGAAGTGATCAAAAAATAGGGAGAGATAGTTTTCAAAAGCAGAAATACAAAGATTCAACAATATTTGAGAGAATGCCTGAGATCATTAATAGTAAGTATAAATTAAAACAAATCCAAACCTCTCAAGTGTTATCTCATATCCCTCAAATTAACAAAGATGACAAAAGGTTAAAAGGGCAAATATTGGAGAGGCTGTGGAAGGACACATATATGAATGCACTGCATGACAGCTGTGAATTAGCTCCATTACTCTTGAAAATAATTTGGCATTCTACTAAAACGTCATCAAACTACTTGTCCCATTTGATTCAGCAGTCAAGTTATATTGGACAAATGGGTAAGCGGACAAAGGACATTGATTCAATGTGGCACTAACTGATTTGTGTTTTTAGCCAATCTTTCCCTTCAGAATTTCCCTATCTCCCCCTAGATAGAGAGATGTCCAAACTACCTTTGTTTTTATAAGACTACTCCATAGAGGTCAAAGATAAAAGGAAAGTTTCCACATAAGCAAAAATAAAATATTTATAGTAGTACTTTTATGGTAGCAAGTACTAGGAATACAGTAGGTGTCTGTTGATTGGGACATGTCTGAACAAATTGAGGTGTATGAATGTATAATGAGTTATTACTGAGCCTTAAGAAATGAGGAAAATGAAGGATCCAAGCAAACTGGGATAGAATTATATGAACTGAAACAGAACGAAGTGAAAAGAACAAGAAGGACGATTTACACAATGACCACGATAACATTAAGGAAAATAACATCAGAATTCTACTGAATAAAGTAACTTATTTGTGATTTGAGTAAACTATTGTTAAAGCAAGCAATCTCTTCTCAGTGGACTATAAGGAAGAATCATAAGATCATGGATTTAGAACAGGAAGGAAGCTTAGAGACCACACAGTCCAACCCTTTCATTTCACAGATAAGGAAACAGAGGCTCAGAGAGACTGAGTGAATTCTCCAAGTTCACACAAGGAATGATGGTGGCAAACTTCAATCTAGGTCCTCTGATTCCAAATGACATCTATAGTGTCACATATGACCAATGGGATGATTTGTTTTGCTCAATTTTAATTATTTGTTGTGAGGGATCATTCTCTTTCGGGGAGATCATCAGGCAGTTGTTGTTCAGTCATTTTTCAGTTGTGTTCAACTCTTCGTGGCATCATTTGGAGTTTTCTTACCAAAGATAATGGAGTGGTTTGCCATTTTGTTCTCCAGCTCATCTTACAGATGAGGAAACTGAGGCAAAGAGGATTAAATGACTTGTCCAGGGTCACACATCTAGGAAGTGTCTGAGGCCAGATCTGATGAAGTTTTCCTGACTCCAGGGCTGGCACTCTATCCATTGTGTCACCTAGCTGCCCTTGGGTAGTTGTAGCAATACACAAAATATACAAAAAGGAATATCAACAAAACACTTATTTTTTTTTTAAAGAAATGTCATATGTGACTTACAACCCTTGGGAAAATGGGAACAGACAAGGGCATCATTTTCAAATTACAGGGCTACAATTTTCAAACCTTGCCTAAGGACCATAAATATGCCATACCAGTTCTGAATGTCCTCAACATAAACAAATTGTTACGTTCATTAGTTTCTGAGGTAAAGCAGTTATGGCTGAAATATCTGAGGGATGGAACATAAATGTGTGACTGTGTTCTCCAGAGAGTAAATGAGGTGATACCAAGTGCTGACAGAGCTACTTATGTTACTAAGGAAATGTCTCATAACCAAAAGAGTTATAGCTAAAAGCGCTTTGAGATCTTGTCCCCTTACTTATGTGACTAAAATGAGGCCCAGGGAGAAGAAGTGACTTTCGTGATATGTAGTAAGTAACAGAGCTTGTATTTGAACCCAGGTCTTTTGGCTTAGCTAAGAAAGTGCTGTGCTCCTCTGGATTGTGGACAGCTCACTTTCTCAAGGGACTAAAATCATACGAGGTCAATGTTGTGGATAGGATGGCTATGGTTTCTCTGTTTGGAGTCTTAGGTAGACTTCATTATATGGCATAATCTAGGGCAGGGTTGTTTTTTTATTTTATTTTTATTTATTATTTATTTTTAGTTTTTAGTTTTTTTGGGGGGGCAGGGGTTTTTAACCTTATGTTTGTGAATTTGGCATTTAGAAATGTTTTGATAACTGTATTTCAGTAAAAATGGCTTCCTTTGTAATCTTGTATATTTCACACAAATATTTGAATTTGAAACTTGAATTTGCATTTGAAAACATCACTTGGAGAAGAAATGAAAATGCATCAAAACAAAATGAACATAATTCATGACCCAATTAGGACCTTATAGTCTTTTGGCTCAGTAAGTAGTAACCTTCTCTCTTTTTTTTTCCCTGGCTCCATGTCTCTCCTCTTTAGTCTATCCTTCACAGAAGAGCTAAAATAACCTTCCAAATGAATAGATTTGACCATGTCATTCCCTTTCCAAACATCCTTTAGTGATTCTCTGTTGCTTTTCAGACAAAATACAAATTATTTACCCTGACATTCAAGGCCTTCCATAATCTTACTCCAATCTACCTTTCCATTTTCCCCTCTGCACTTTCTACATTGCAGCCAAATTGGAGTATTAGGTATTCTCCAATTTTGTCCCACTCTCCCAGCTCCATGCATTCATTCAGACTATCACCTAATTTGTAGAATGCCCTTCTTCCCTATATCTGGCTATTCATCTTCCTTTTTTTTTTTTTTTATCTCCTCCAGGGATCAGTTCAGGTGCCGCTTCCTCCTCAAATTTCACAAGCAGACTTTGTCTAGACTTCTCTTTTGCAACCACCCCTTTGCATTACACTGATTGGTATGCATGCTGAATACCCTTGATAGATTGGAAGCTTCTCGAGGGTATACATGGTGTCATGTTTCATCTTTGCTGTTTAACACAGTAAGTGCAGGGTCATGGAATTTACATCTAGTACTTGAAGGGACCTTATAACCCCCTTTACATTTGACAAAACTAAGGTCCACAGAGGTTGTGATTAGTCCAAGATCACACAGGTCCCAGACAGAAAACATAGACATGGACAAGCATATGGTAGTATACCTCCAGGATATCAATCAGGACATTCTCTTCCGGTTGCTTCGTGCTCCTTACATTCTCAAGCACAATTGAATAGTATACACCCTGTGGGTCTGACTGGTAAAGGTTGTATGTGTCTGTTTGGTACCATTCTTGGACAGCCACAAATACCTCATTTTCATCAGTGCTGATAATCTGCAAGTCCTGCCAGAAAAGAAATGGAAACTGAGTTGATATATTTCAGATGCATGCTTTTATTTATAGAAGATTTTTAACCAACCTACCTCCAAAAAGCTTGCAAGCAGCCTGTAAAATCTAACACAATATGAAACAGAACAATATAAACAGAACAAATCTAATTAAAAGGAGCAGGGAAGTAGATGTTACCAGGCACCTGGGATGAGTTAGCTACTACAGCTGAGCATGGAATGTAGCCCAGAGCTTTCTGGCAGCTGAGGCAAAAAAGGAAACACATTGAATTAGGTAGTTCTCATTTGTCTGATTAAAGGAAGGAAACACATCCATCTGTAGAGACAATTCTGTTTTCATCATTCAACACTCAGAAAATATTTTATGAGTGCCTAGGATGTGCAGTCCACTGAGTTATATCCTTGGAATAGGTGCAGGGTTTAATAAGACGTGGTTCCTACCCTGAAGTTGTTTAGCATCTTGAACTACAGGGGAGATAAAACAAAGATCGTCAGCATCAGAGTCTGAAAGACATACATTCAAGTTTTACCTCTGAAGACTACTATGTGATCCTGAGTAAGTCACTTGACCTCAGTGCCTAGGCAATTCTGTCTATAAGTCACAGTGCAAATTCTAACCTGCATTAGTAATGAAAGATTCTTCCCTGAGCATATCTCATACCAATGAAATGACAAGTTCGGATTAAAAAAAGTCTTATCGTAGATAAGTAAGATGCCAATTAGAATTTGCTATGCCCACAGAGCTAGGAGGTCAGAGGTGGAAAAGACCCTTCCAGCTTTGGGAACTCAATACATTCAGAGCCAGAAGGGACTTTGGAGATCATACAATCCTATTACTGAAAGTTATGCTGACTCAGTGAGCTATTGTTTTCAGTCTGGCTTATAAATCGATGTTGGGGGAGGCTCTGTTGAGGGAGGTTCTGGTGGGGAAGGTATCACTCAGACCCCAGCTTTTGTATTACTTGATATTCATCAGGTATCCTTACCTTGATGGTTGTACCTGTTAAACATCACATAAAGGCAATTTGGGAGGAACTGAGACGCAATGGTCCATCCCCTTTTGCTTACTTAGAACTCTCTGAATTGTCTTCATCTCATTATGAAAGTTATCAGTAAAAGCTGGCTCCATCTTGAATTCTTTGCTGATCTCTTGACCAGCTCAACAAACATGTTGCTACCTTGATGTATTTTCATAAACTCTTTTAATTCTCTTCATCTTGAGTTTTGCCTCATTAATCAGGGTGAAAGCTTGAATAAAGAATTTTCCTTTTAACACTCTCTCCTGTGATATATGAGGAAACAGGCACAGAGAGATTGTGATGTGGCAAAGGTCACATAGGCAGTAAGAAGAGCTGGGATTTAAACTCAAGAAAATCATGCTTCCTAACTCTAAATCCAATTTTCTTCCCACTACAATACACTTTTACAGATACCCTTATGGTATTATGGTATCATTGGAGCAGGACCTTAGGGTGTCAACAGGCAGAGATAGGGAAGGAGCTTTCCAGGTAAATCCTAGGTACTGGATTAAAAGAGGAGTTCATGGCAGGAGTGCCAGGTAAGGCAGCTAGGTGGTGCAGTGGATAGAGCACAGGCTTAGAGTCAGGAAGACTCTTCTTCCCGAGTTCAAATCTGGCCTCAGACAATTACTAGCTGTGTGACCCTAGGCAAGTCACTTAGCCCTGTTTGCCTCAGTTTCCTCATCAGCAAAATGAACAGAAGGTAATAACAAGTCACTCCAGAATCTTTGCCAACAAAATCTCAAACAGGGGCATAGCCAAGATGGAATAGTAAAAGCAGTGACTTGCTGGAGATCTCCTCCAAATATCCATAAAAAATGGCTCTAAACAAATTTTAAAACAACAGAACCCATAAAAAGACAGAGTGCAACAAATTTCCAGCCCAAGACAACCTGAATGGTTGATCGGAAAGGTATGTCGCACCAGGCTGGGAGAGGAATGTAGTTCAGAGTGGGCACACAGGCTGCAGTGAACTTGGAGCAGGCCTCAGAGGACCAAATCATAGGCAGCTGTGGCAGTTTCCAGACTTCTCAACCCATGAAGGCCAAAGACAACTTAGAAAGTCAGTAGGAAAAGTCAGTGTCTGCAGTGGTGAGAGAGAAGCACAGTGCAGTCCCAGCCCCAGTCCCTGAGCGTGGCCCTGGGGCGGTGGCTGCCTCCTGAGCTTCAGGTCCACAGACTGAGGGGGAATCAAGTGGCTGATCAGAGGGGAATTGCACGGATCTCTCTGCTGGTACAGGATTCTCTTGCTTTGCCCGTGCTTGGATCTGGGTCACAGTTCTGGGTGGCAGTCTTGGGGCGAGGAGGAGAGCTGGCATAGTGGAACTTGTAGTGTCAGTGGAGAAGAAATCCTTCTCACAGTTCCAAGACAAAAAAGAGTGCTTGTGGTCACTCATAGACCAGAACACAGGCCAGGAAAGGAGTAAACACCTCCCCCTTGATCATAGCACCTTGGAAGAACTGAAAATTTATAGGTCCCTAGAAGTATCTCTGAAAACAGCTGCACAAAACCCCCAAAGCTTGGGACAATACATTCTCCACACTGGAAGCAGGCCCCTACCTTAACAAAGAGTTTGTAACTCAAGTAATTGGCTGGGATCATGAGCAAGCAGCACAAAAAGAGTCAGACCATAGAATCTTACTTTGGTGACAAAGAAGATCAAAACATACAACCAGAAGAACACAACAAAGTCAAAGCTCCTACATCCAAAGCCTCCAAGAAAAATATGAATTGGTCCCAGGCCATGGAAGAGCTCAAAAAGGATTTTGAGAAGCAAGTAAGAGAAGTAGAGGAAAAACTGAGAGTGATTCAAGAAAATCATGAAAAACAAGTCAATAGCTTGCTAAAGGAGACCCCAAAAATACTGAAGAAAATAGCACCTTAAAAAATAGCCTCACCCAAATGGCAAAAGAGGACCAAAAAGCCAATGAGGAGAAGAATGCCTTAAACAGCAGAATTGTCCAAATGGAAAAGGAAGTCCTAAAGCTCATTGAAGAAAATATTTCCTTGAAAATTAGAATGGAGCAAATAGAAGCTAGTGACTTTATGAGAAATCAAGAAACAAAATAAAACCAAAAGAACGAAAAAATAGAAGACAATATGAAATATCTCACTGGAAAAATAACTGACATGGAAAATAGATCCAGGAGAGAGAATTTAAAAATTATTGGACTATCTGAAAGCCATGATCAAAAAAAGAGCCTAGACATCATCTTTCAAGAAATAATCAAGAAAAACTGCCCTGATAATTTAGAACCAGAGGACAAAATAGAAATTGAAAGAATCCACTGATCACCTCCTGAAAGAGATCCCCAAAGGAAAACTCCTAGGAATATTGTAGCCAAATTCCAGAGTTCCCAGATCAAGAAGAAAATATTGCAAGCAGCCAGAAAGAAACAATTCAAGTATTGTGGAAACACAATCAGGATAACACAAGATTTAGCCGTTTCTACATTAAGGGATCAGAGGGCTTGGAATATGATATTCTAGAGGTCAAAGAAGCTAAGATTACAATCAAGAATCACCTACCCAGCAAAACTGAGTATATTCCTTCAGTGGAAAAAATAGACATTCAGTGAAACAGAGGACTTTCAAGCATTCTTGATGAAAAGACCAGAGCTGAATGGAAAATTTGACTTTCACATACAAGACTCAAGAGAAACATGAAGAGGTAAACAGGAAAGAGAAATCATAAGAGACTTATTAAGGTTGAAATGCTTATATTCTGCATGCAAAGATGATATTTGTAACTCATGAGTTCTTTGGCAGTATTAGACTAGTTGGACAGAAAAATATATATATGTATATATATGTATATATATATGTAGATAGATAGATAGATAGAAGGATAGAGGGCACGGGATGAGTTTAAGATGAAGGGGTGATATCTAGAGAATAAAATTAAGGAGTGAGAGAGGATTATACAGAGAGAAGGAGAAAGTGAGAGGTAGAATGGGGTAACTTATCTCACATAAAACAGACAAGAAAAGGCTTTTTAATGGAGGGGAAATGGGGGAAGTTGAGAGGGAATGTGTGAATCTTATTCTCATCAGATTTGGCTTAAGGAGAGAATAATATATACACTCAATCAGGTATGGAAACCTATCTTACCCTACAGGAAAATAGGGAGGGAAGGGGACAAGAGAGCAAGAGGATGATAGAGGGGAGGACAGATTGGGGGAGGGGTGATCAGAAGCAAACACTTCTAAGGAGGGACAGGGTCAAAAGAGAGAATAGAATAAATGGAGGATGGGATAGGATTAACGGAAATACACTTAGTTTTTCACAGCATGACTACTATGGAAGTGTTTTGCATGACTACACATGTATAATCTATATCGAGTTGCTTGCCTTCTCAATGAGGGGCGGGGAGGAAGGGAGAAAATGTGGAACCGAAAGTTTTAAAAACAGAAGTTAAAAAAATTGTTTTCACATGCAACTGGGAAATAAGATATACAGGAAATGTGGTATAGAAATCTATCCTGCCCTATAGGAAAAATGAAGGGGAAGGGGATAAGAGAAGGGTGAGAGAAATAGAAGTGAGGGCAGATTAGGAGAAGAGGTATTCAGAATGCATGCCATCTTGGGGTGGGGGGAGGGATGAGATGGGGAGAAAATTTGGAACTCAAAATCTTGTGGAAGTGAATGTTGAAAACTAAAAATAAATAAATTAATTAAAAAATAAAATCTCAAATGGGGTCACAAAGAGTTAAACATCACTGGATGACAACAAGGGGGAGGACAGAAGACAATGCCTATTGTCTTTACAAAAGATGCAGAAAAAGTTTCATAAATGGAAGTTTCTAACACCAGCCATTTATAAAAGCTGAGAATGTTAATTTCAGGACTTAAATCTCTGAAGGCATTTCTATAGTGGCCTAATTCAGGACAAGTATTCAATAGAGTAAACCTAGAGGAACACAAGAAAACCTTTCCATCAGGCTGCCTGTGTCAGATTCCAGATATTTGAGCCAA